AATATACATTATTATTTATAAATGCACTGTACAGCTTTTTCTATATGTATATCTTGGGAACTACAATCCTTCCTATACCTTCCAAACCTTTTAAAAATGTTTAACTGAAGTTAGTAGAGCAAATATATCATCTTACTTTTAATGTGATCTACAAGCTTTAATGAAGAACACGTAAGTAGTATGTCATAACCAATTTTATAAAGCATTGATTTCATGTTGCTCTATGTAGATAGTTAGCATGCCACCATTTTCCACTGTTGAACTCAGGGTAAAGAGTTTATTTTAAAGCCTAAATCACTAAATTATCTACTTATTAGCATTGTAAGCTCAGAACAAAAATAGACAAATTTTTATTCATAACAAAAGAACACTTTAGAATGCATCACAAGACTATTAGGTTTTTTTCTGTCCACTTCCACTATGTCTGGTAGTTAAGCTATTTGAAGTTTGAAAGATAATGAAGGAATCAAGTTGACATGGTAGGCTACCATAAATTATTAACTGATTTTATTATCACTTACCTATATTCCTATGACTAAATAAATAATGGCATGGTATAACTCTAGATACTCACATAGTAAAAATGATGGATCTATTTTATCTATCTTGAAGCCAAAACAGAGAAAGATGTCTGCACAGAAGTTGCACCAGAATAAAGGGAGAAACTCTGGTGAGGGAGAAAGAAATTCCATCAAAAGGATGAATTCTTTAATCTTTTGACATGTAGTCCTATTTCCATTCCACTCATACATAATAAAAACTTCCTACAAAGCAGCAAAGATTACTGAGGGCTATTTAAATCTACTTTCTTGCATCTCTGTTTACTGCTGCTCCCTGTCAGAAAGCCCCTTCAGTATTCCATCAGTCTTGGAAGTAAGTCATTGTACTATCTCTTATTTGGGGTGAAGAGAGATTGATTTTCTTTCATTTGTATGCCAGCACATATATCTGAATATCCCCAAAGTACACAGCTGAATTTTGCATTCTGACTGATAGGCATGCAATTTCTGGTACTGAATTTTCTTCATGAAATCACATAAACATATTAGATTCATGATTGAATCATGGGTATAATTATTATCATCTGACTTATGAGGAGTCTCACAGACAAGTATTTAAAAAATTGGCTTTTTTTCCCCAAAGCTAACATATTGGAAAGTAGAGAAATCAGAGTCAGGATGAATCAGAAGATGCTGCAGTCTTGAAAACTCTTCTCTAAAATAATATTCCATCCTACTATATTATAGTATGGTGTTGGGATGTAAATGCACTATGGCATAGTAGTATGAATGACTTTTCTACAAACAAAATCCACTTTTGGTTTTTATTTGCCATACTCTAGCCTTTTCCCAAATTAAGATCAAACATTAGTTGCAAATAGTTCACATTTCAACTTTTTAAAAAATCTCTTTTTTAAAAAACAGCAGTATTTACCATGTAAGATTTATATGCAAAACAATACACTCCTGTTCTTCTGATTTCCAATTCTATCAAGGGTGAACACTGTCAGGTCAAGGCCTACTCCTTGCCACAAACATATTAACAAATGTGCAACACTGTTGTACTATAGAAGAGGCCATCATTTGTTTTATAAGAAAACTAGTCATCAATAAATAAATAAAATCCTATTCAAAAATCAGTTATCCTGAGCCTTTTGTACAGAGAAGCCCCCACATCTTTCAGACAACTTGTATTAATGAGCAGTCATGACTATAGAATCTCCATCAGTTTTTCTGACAAAGCTGCAACTAGTCCAGCTTCTCATTGTAATTCCATTAATCTGGTGCAGTTGGGTCCAGTGTGAAAATCAAACCTCCATCTAAGCCTTTATCAGCTTACAATAACCTACAAGTGAACTCTGCCTGTTAGCATATAGCAAGTTATGATTTTCCTATCAATCAGACCATAAGCCAATAAAAGAAGAACCAGGCAGGAGCCATATGGTGGTCAAGAATTGTATATCTTGTTTTATTTTGAGGTAGCTTCTTCACAACTGTTTTTCTCACCTTCACAATTTCTTTCTTTTTCATTTCTATATGATGGCTGGGCCCCTGTATTATTCTCCCTGCTAGAAATTTAATTGCTGCTGACAACTGAGTCAAAGCATTACTGAGGTGTGCTTGAATTTCATTAGAAGATGTAACTTATGTATCTTTTCTACAGTATCTAATAAATCATAAAGAAACCAAAACACGTATGGCTTGAGGGGAATAACCGGAAAATTAGGTAGCCACTGGGGAATTGAATGGACTTTTGAACTGGGGAGAGAGGGGGCAAATAATTTGTTACAAGACAAAGAATGGAAGCCAGCAGCAGACGTTAAAATATATATAGAGATGTATATGTCAAAAACCAACATTTTCAGAAACCGTGTTCAATATTATTCCAAAAAGCACATTCATTGTTCAACTTTATATTCCAAAAAAAATTGGAATTCTAACTCATGCCCTCTGGAGGGGGGGGACCACAGTCAGAAAGACAAAGCAGTTACCAGTTTGACAGAAAAGAAATTTCTGTCCCATTTAGTTATTCCACTGATGGTCAAAATGATCTTTCAATATAGTACTATATAATGATTGTCTTTAGCGCGGTTTTTATACATTTTAATGTTTTAATAATATAAATTATTATTTGTAATTGTTTTTTAAGTTTGTTGACCACCTCTCAAAGTCACTTATTTTGTGAGATGGCCTACATTATAAATTTGAAAAATAAATAAATATATATAGCGCTCCACAGTTATAAACAAAGATGTTTGTTTATACAATCTTTATCTTGTGAATAAAATGCTAAATAGTTAATTTAAACATTAACAATTAAATAAAATGTATGTATTTATGGAATGGTCTTAAAAATACTGCTGAAAAGTTTAGTTAAAGATGAATGACTTTTTAATTAAAGATGCCACTGGCTGCTTATAATTTCTAAGCTACTTAGAACACAGTGTCCATCACTTTTATCTGGATACACAAATCTCTAACCTATGTTTCTACCGAACTTACAAATGAAATATCTGGAATTCTTTTAAGTATTTTGTATATGAAAAAGTATATGCTTTCAAAAAGAATCTGCCAAGGTTCCACTACTACATTCAAAAGAGGGTTTAGGTAGTTAAAATGTGAATTTCCTTAAGGCATTTAATTGAGAGAAAAGAAGGACTGCATTAAAGAATTAATTTTAAACCCCCATATCCATTGTATTCAAGGGGATTTATTTCTGAATAGCCCATGCTATAAATAGAATTCATTTCTCAACTAACAGACACCTTAGTGATTTATTGGACTGACATCAGTAAAAACTTATATAAAGATTAAATATCAATATTTATGAGGTGTGGGAGAAAAATAAATAGTTTCAATAATTTACTCTTCAGGTAAATTCCATAAACTTTATAGGATCTGTGCAAGAAGTATACATATAATTTTGCTAGGGCTTGCTATAGCTCACTATTAGCTATAAGATGCCAAGCAAAAATTATTTTACTTTACCCAAATTAATTATAGATAATTTTATTTCTCTGTTTCAACATTTGTTTCTATTTCTACTTAATAGTTTAAGATTGTTGTCTTGTTCAATAGGCCTTTTGTTAATATAAGTAATTTTTATTTTTTACAAAATGGAAGACCTTGTAACATATTCAAATTGATATAATTAACATAGCTTAATAATAGTATTTGGAAGCTTTTTTAAATGAATAGTTAATGCATTTGTATTGGTAATACTTAAGGCTCAGGCTTCAACACTGTTCTACAATTGACTTTTCATTTTCATAAACAAAAGCAGTTGTCTATTTTTTTTTTCTCTCAAACAAACAAGAAAAAATATTTCTCATGCTTGCTTCTTTGTATATGTATTCAATGTGTTGAATGTGTCCGCTGCCATAAAACACGGGAACGGAACATAAGCACCAAATTTGTCAGATAAAGACAAAGGTTTATACTCTATTTAATGACTTCAGGGGGAAATAAGTCTAAAAACGTCATTTAATCTATTATACCAATAAATACATTTATTTTAAAAAAACTTAAAAGGCTATTTTATTGCTGATATTTAACTGGCTTTTTTCTTAGAATATAAAAAGAAAGGTGGATTCAAAACAGGAACACTTTTATTGTTAACGTTATACAATCTACAGAATTCAAAGAACACTAAGATCCTGCTTGCTTGGCTGTTAGAAGGTTTATCACTCTATCTGAGTTATCCCTATCCTGCAATAGCCATAATTTTATATCTCATAAATGCAATATATGATTCCAAAGGGAATAATCTGAATAACATAAAATGTAGCATATCATGCTGTAAAAAGCATATTTTCATTCAACAATTGAAACAGAACTAAACAATTTGATCAGTATATGGCAAACCATCACTTCCCCAACAGCCCTCATTTACCAGTCTAAATTTTTGAGCAACAAATTCATTTAAATTGATAGTTATATGTATGTGTGATTTATCAAACATCACTTAATTCTCATTAGTAAAAGATAGCAAGCCATGATTCCCTGAATTATTTCCCCTTAAAATATAATTATAACTGATTATGTTTTTTATTTTAAAATTGTAGGAAAAGTGTTCAAATTTAAAAATAATAATTGTTCAGTAAGTACAGTACACACTAACTTATTAACTGGAAAAAAAATCTTAAGAATAAATTATTTAATCTTTTAAGAATTTGTCCCATTTTATATTTGAAAGAAGAAAAATATTTCAATCACTGATTTATTTGCTTATGAAGGACATCTAAAAAACATATTTTAATTTTAACACAAAACAAGCAAGCATATAATTTCAAATATTATTATTTCACCATGCTTTTTCTGCCACTAGAGAGTGCTCTTCAGTTCTTTAACAAGCTTGGAAAGGTAAGAAACTTTTCAGGGCCTTAAAGCTTCCTGAGACTTTACTCTTCTCCAATATCTTCTTATGCCGTTCATTAGAGTCCAACCAAACTATCAACAATATTATAATTATTCAGGATGAGATCTAGAAAAATCACTCACCATCAGAAGGAGCTTCATCCTCTTTATCATAACGGTCAGATGCTAGAGAGACACTGTCAGGAGCAACATCCTCTTCCCCATCTTCATAATCTCCTGCACACATAAAACATTATCAGTGATTAAAAGCAGAGACTTTCAGTTTTACTTTATGCAGAGAGCAACGTTTTCCTAATTGGTTATATTGGTATGGTAATCTCCAGGGGCTGAGAATTCTAGCGTCATCTTACTAAGACATGGTAGGTGCCAAGTTTAGGACAGCTAGCATAAAGAGCACCTTGAATTTCAAAATCAATAGTAAATTTCAGAAGCATACATCATGAACTCACAACACTGGGCAGAGTTTTCCTTTCTAACTAGCGCAGAACAATTAATTCTCAATGTCTTCAATGAAAATAAAGATTTTTTTTCCCCATTTTAAAATCTTCCTAATTCAAAAAGGAAGTGGAAAAATAAAACATGAATTCATTAGATGGTTGAATTGTCACAATAAGATGGATTTCTTTTCTTTTCTTTTTTTTAAAAAAACAGTGCTGGAGAAGGACATGCTGCCCAATCCACTTAGGTATTATTGGCAGAGGAAGAGCTTCGCAAACACAGAAACACAGAGACCAAAAACCTCTCTACCCTTCAGTTATTTCCAACACTCTGTTAATAGACTTATTTTGCAATTTAAACTCTTTACACTCCAAGTTTTCAATGCCACATTGTTAGGATGTTACCAGACCACTAGCAATAGTCCCCAAAACACTCAGCTAAAAAATGAAAATAAAAATGAACAGGCTGTAAACTAAGTACAAATCCGGCTTAAGATACTGGCTTGTTAAGAAAACAACAATAAACCAAGGGCTGTACTCCAGATGTAACTTTAACATATCATGAACAATCTTGAATTATTTAGCCAGTCCCTTTGGTTTAATAAATCTTGGCTAAAGAAAGCAAAAGCATCATCACACTTACTGAATCTGACTTTGACAGCTGAAATGAGCCATTGTGTTTAAATTTACGGAGATATAGGTTTGAATTAAAGCATTTTACCCACTGTAAACAATGGGTTTGGGGCAGCTAATTCATTCAGCTAATATTGTATAGAACAGTGATGGCGAATCTTTTAGAGACCGAGTGCCCAAACTTCAACCCAAAACCCACTTATGCATCGTCGGGTGCCGGGTGGGTGTGGCCCATTGGGTGGGTGTGGCCCAGTGGGTGGGCATGGCTGCGGTGGTAACAGCAGACTGGGTGGAACTAAAAAGTTCAATCAATCAATTCCAACTTTGCAAGATCTTCTTTTTTCCCGCGAGAAGTTGAAATTGACTGATTGATTGAACCTTTTTTTTTTGTACACGGCAGCGGAGGCCTAAAGCAAAAAGGTTTTATAAAACCCAGCTGAAGGCCTAGGACTGGGGCGACGGTGCGCGTGCCCACAGAGAGGGCTCTGAGTGCCGCCTCTGGCACCCGTGCCATAGGTTCGCCACCACTGGTATAGAACAAGTCTCTAAAAAAGCAATTGTATCCTTTTATCAACAATCTCTAAAATATACTTTTCTCAATGACCATACCTCATCCAATTGAAAAATAATAATTGCAACACAATGTCTATTATGAATTTAAAAGGAGAGAGGAAAGGAAAAATATTTTATTGGCCTGAGAAGTAGATACTTGATGTAATGTTTGCATTAAGAATTTCCCCACATGATAGCAGCATAACAGGATGCACCACATGGGCATACCACTTATAATTCTGCTAGTGTAGTTTTCTGAATTAAGCATTACATTTTCAATAAATTGTAAATTTGTGTGTTTATACTGATGCTTTGTCGACTTACAACAATGCAATCTATATCTATTGTAATGCAACTCAGTTCAGATCTCTCCAAAATATCTGCTTCCTTAAAAACTCCATAGAGGATGCTACAATGGTCATAAGTTTGAGGACTGCACTTTTTTCAGTGCAGTTTGCTAAATGGATGGTTGTAAGTCAAGAACTACCTATAGTTCCTTTTTTACAAATCTTTTCTTTAAAAAGCATTGGTCCTATGTATGTAATTTCAAAAGATTCAGATAATAATACTCCATTTGTATAGCAGTGTGGATCTTACATACTGTATCTTTCAGTCTTATGATCCAAAAGTTTCTTTTTCATCTTCAAAGGGACCTTATAAGTCCCTGCTCAAGCAGAAGACCCTATACCATTTCTGACAACTGGCTGTCCAGTCTCTTCTTGAAAGCTTCAAGTTATGAAGCACCAACAACTTCTGAAAGCAAGTTGTTCCATTAGTTGATTGTTCTCACTGTCAGAAAATTTCTCTTTATTTCTAGGTTGAATATCTCCTCGATCAGTTTCCATCCACTATTCCTTGTCTTTGGATACTTTGGAAAATAGTTGACCCCTTCCTCTCTGTGACAGCCCCTCAAATATTGAATATCACTATCACATCACCCTGGTCCTTCTCTTCACTAGACTAGCCATGTCCACTTCTTATAACCATTCTTCATATGTTTTAAATCAGACTACAAAAACCAATGTTTTGTTTTATGTCTTGAATGTTATAGTCTTCACCATAGTCTTCCTAGATCTTTTCTACCCTCTTTCCTTTATGTTTTGCAGGAATACTGATGAGGGCAATATTTTAAATGTATACAACATCCTTGCGTGTTTTTTTAAAAAATACTCTCATTAATTTAAAATCTTTCTACATTTCAAAGTACTTCAAAGGAAGAACAGGACTGCTGCTTATGCAAATTGATACTCCATGAATCAAAGCAATTACAAATAAAGAAAAGTGGAGGTTCGTATAATATAGCTATGCTATAACATTTGGCTGCATAACTGCAGCCACAGCCACACCATCATAGAAGTCTCTCGGATTTGGAAATGCTGCATGCACTACAAGAAACAAAATGGTTTACACCCAAGCTCAAGCCACTTACAGAAATGCCTGTTCTTATGCAGTCCTCCCTGCACAATTAGGTCATTAATACCACAGGTATTTGTTGTGAGTCTTCTCCAGATATATTTGACAACAATGAATTCAACAGTTTCCACAGTGGGGCCTACCTGATAGAATAAATTATCAACATCTGGAAGAAACTTCCACTCCTACTTATTTTTCCAGGGATTTTAAATGTTTCCTTATCAGTGTTATACATTCATTTGTTGTGTCATTTAACTACTCTTTTAATTGATTTTTAACACAATCCAATAGTTAGTAGAACAAGCAGGGTATACATTCTTAAAACAAAATTTATTTACAGACACAGATACCCAAATTAAAAGCATATCTATAAAAGCAATAGTTCACTAACATCCTTGCAAGTGGCAATTTTTATAAAGTAAACCTCTCACAATCTCTAGTTTTCTAACTCTAACTCATATTTCATTCTACTGTTCTCCAATTTAACACAACACATCTAGATTGGGCTTTCACTTTCAGAATTAACAGTTTGCTTTAAGAGTTTTGGAATAGGAATTCTGGGGTCTGCACAACTGGTGAATATAAGACATCAGTCATCAAAGACTATTCCAACTTCATATTTAGTCCTACACACAGATTCTTCCCCATGGCTGTCTTCATGAATATACTTCCAATTTTCTTTGCAATTTATTCTGCCTCAATAACCAAACTCTAACTGGCTTAATACTATGGGCTTGTAAGAAATCCTGTCCTTAGAGCTTTACTGCAGACAATTTAAGGGCAGAATTTATGCATTTCTCTAACTTTAGCTCCTCTCCCACCCATGCAATAGAAAAATCCAAATGGCTATCTTTAAAATATGGTAGCAGTCTTGAACTAATGAAAGAATGGTGGACCTGGGTAGAACCAGGGCTTGGCTAATGGGGGGGGGGAGGAGGAGGAGGAGGAGGAGGAGGAGGAGGAGGGAATCCTATAATGCACCTATTTGGGACATAACCAGAAACACACAACTGGCCAAATCAAGTTTAAACTGAACTTCCATGTAGAGCAGACATGTCAAACACAAGGCCCGGGGGCCAGATACAGCCCACGAAGTGGTTTCATGTGGCCCATGAAGCCATCCTGGAAACAGTGAGGGAACGGCCCCCGTTGCCTTGGCTCTGGCCCAGGCCGGCCGGGAGCCAATGTACAATTTTGTGGTGGACATCTATGATGAAACGCATTCAGTCTTAGCTCCACAAGGCTGTCTGGAATCAGCCCCTGCCGTGTCGGCCCAGCCCCCTAGGTGCATGCTAGGGAGGTTTCACCCTTTGTGAGGAATGAAGAAATGCACCATTGCCTGGAAGTGGCCAGCAAATGGCCCTCGCCTACTTCACATATCCGGGTTTCATGGGCTCCGAGGGAGGGGTTTCGGCAAGCAACGGGGCGATCTCCTCACAGCATTGAGAGGCTGAATCCAAAAAGAAGCGTGAGGCTGCCCAGCTCCCAGCTTGCCTGGTTTTGGCAGGCAGTAGTGCGCTCTCCTCACAGCGCCAAGAATTGAGCTGGGTGGCACGAATCTGATGAGAAGTGCAATGCTGCCTAGCCCCCAGCCTGCCCAGTTTCAGCAGGCAGCAAGGTGCAAAGCTGGTGAGCTTTGCACCGCCCGACTCAACCTCTCAGCACTGTGAGGAGAGTGCCCCGCTGCCTGCCAAGACCGGAAAGGCTGGGGGCTGGGCGGCATTGCACAGGTAACTTTGACTCTCACGCTGCTCATGTCATCCCCTCCCCCAGAGCTCACCAAGCCAGATATGTGAAGTAGGTGAGGGCCATTTACTGGCCATTTCCAGGCGATGGTGCATTTCTTCATTCCTCATGAAGAGTCACACCTCCCCAGCTGCATTTCTTGCCTGTTTTTCTCCCTCCCTCATCTCAAATATTTTCCCACCATTCTGTACTTAGGAAGGAAGGAAGGAAAGAACGAAAGAAGGAGAGGGAGGGTCTGAGGGAAGTCCTGCCTTAGTCCTTCCCTGCTGCCCTTTCACCATCCCCTTGCCCCCTCCTCCTGGCTATCCTGAGGGTCTTCCATCCTATTGCTAAGGAAGCTTTGGATACAAAGCCGGGTCTCCTCCCATGGAGAGGGAATAGGCCTCCCTCTGACTTTGCCCTGGCACCCATCATGAGCAACCTGGCTAAGGAGAG